ACGTGGAGAACAACATTAGAAGAGCTGTTGCCAAACTCAATGAACTCTGGGACGAAATTCATATGCCGGAGTCTGCTAGGTACGCACACCACAGCTTCTTTCGTAGCCTTTATGCTTGAAATGGCTTTTATTTATACTGTTTTCAGGGTTTCACGTGTTGCCACTGCGTTTAGACACATTTGTAACTTACTTCAACGACATGGTTTGTTTGGCTGCTTATCATTTTTTTGTTGTTCCGAAATCTCTGCTTTGTGCTGGAAGACATTTCAACGCTCAAAACAATGCAGAGGAATATTCATTTTCTTCGGAAAAATGCTTTTTAAGGTTGTATCCGAGGAAGACATGGTCCAGGGTGTAGCTATGGAAATAGAAAACGGCATGAACAAAATCAACAGCTTGCGGTCTCAACTTGGAATGGAGCCGTGGGAAAATAAACGGGCACCACCAGGGTCCATTGAGCTGGTAATTTTTGGTTGTATCTAAAGCGCATTCATTGTTTTTTTTTAGATCTTTCCTCAAATCCTTTTTCATTGTTCATTCGATGTAACATAGAGCGCATGGCGTGCAAGTCAGTGCTGTCGAATTGAATCCTTCAGACCATTTCTACTGCACTTATTATATGTAGTTACTGGGTAGAACGTGGTGAGGATAGCGCATGTCTCCCAGATACTTATCCAACGGGGTTTTTTAGTGTTCTCTTCAAGCGAACCTATCGATATTATTTCATTTGTTCGATTTTTCGGACTTTTTAAATTGATTATTTGATCGTTATATCTATTCTTTTACGAATTTATATTGAACTGAATGATTCATATTGGTCTGCATGAGTCGCGTTTCAGCGCAACTCAATTGACCACGAAATCAAAAGGCTGAAACCCGTCTACGAAAAGCGCATGGAGGAACAGACGGTGCTGATAGAACGCGTTGCGCACCTCTCAGTTCGGCTCGGTATTGAAGACGATGACGAATTTTCTATTCCAACAGACATCGACGTGAGCTTTTTAATTGTTTTGGCTTTCTTTGTCTCAAGGTTTTCGCTGTGTTGGTAAGGTTCAAATTTGGAAAAGAGAGTAGTCCCTCTTACCATTAGTTGCTATCTACTATTCCTTTTGACGTCCTCTCTTCTCGTAGTTTCGCCATTTTCCTTGGCCCAAACGTATCACTATTTTTAGGAACTACTCCCGGTCGAAAAGATGAAGGATCTTGATGCACGCCGACAGGAACTTGAGGCTATACTCCACAAGAGACTTAAGAAAGTCCAAAAGTGGCAAAAAGAGATGATCAAGTTTATTGGGAAACTAGGTGTGTGTTATAGCCGTGACGGCTTTTGAAAAATGATTGCAGTAGTTGTAAAAATTTTTAGTTGTTTTTATTGAGACATCTTCATACTGCTAAAGTTAAGTATTGCTTCCGATAGAAAAGGCGAAATAGATGTAAAGTTGCTGCGTCAGGTCGTGAAACGCTCACTGAAGACGAAGATATGCTTGCCCTCATGGACGCTAATTTCAATAGCGAAGATGCTTGCGTTTCTGATGCAACGGTTAGCGCAATGGAAGAACACTATGAACAGGTAGGTTTTGGGTGTTTGAGTATACTCAGCAGAATGGAACTCAATTTTGACTTTGATTTTGATTTTCTGTGTTCTACAGTTGCGAGAAATGTACACGGGCTATGTGCAAGAAAGGGAGTTCCGCTGGCTTGAGCTGTACACACGCCTCTCGGAATTGTGGGATTCATGCCATACGTCCGATATTGAGCGTTTGATACCGCCCACTTATAATCCAGGTAAGCCCATTTTTTCCTTCAGCGTGTTTCAAATTATTAGGGCTCAGAACATCCTTGACAAGTTCATTCCAGATAAGCACACGGACAAAGATTTCGACAAAATGTCATCAGAAATTTCGCGTTTGGAGAAGCTTTATGCTGCACGTAAAGATGTTTTTGACGCATTGACATTGTGAGTTTGGGGCTTTAGAAATCAATAGTACAGTATTGCTCAAAATTATTTGTGTTATATCGTTCCAGATGGAAGGAAAAATGGTCAGAGAAGTTAGCTCTGGAGGAGAAGAAAAAGCATCCTGAGTATTTCCAGAACCGTGGGAGGGAAAATAATGTTTTTCAGGATGCAAAGGTATGGATTAGTAATTGTGATAATTCTGAACAAAATCTTAGTTTCAGATTTGCGTCAAGTTTTTTTGGATAACAAATTTCTAGTTAAACAATTGCTCAAATGTACTCGCAATTTCAAGAGATAAAATTGAGGGTCCATTGAAAGCACGACTTCCACTCAATGCGCAATTTTCTACAGTTTTTATTGGAAGATCAACCGTTGGGAACATTTTCAGGAATTTTACGACCCTCCGATAAGTCAATACCTTGGAGATATTTTCATGAAATTTTACTGCACCCCTCTGCGGATTCTCAATTGACCCGACCACTTTCATCATACGCGAGTTCATTCTACGAATGCGACCTCCTATTACAACCCTAGCCACATGCCACACTCCCTATTGTTTTTCAGTACATTTTATTCTAGAGACAGTATACAACGCTCAACACCGCACCTTTCCCTGCAAAAAGCGCGTCGAGGAGCATGACGAGGGAAGAGGAGGGCGTATATCGGATTAGTATCAAAGGAACTACCTTTCTTAGCCCCACCACCCCCAATCATGAGGCTGGCGTTGCTAATGGTTTGCGGAACGATCAAAAAAGGACAGTCAAACGGAATCCCACCTCCTCCCAAATCCAGTTCCACAGAACACCTCATAAAAATCACAGAGTAACTGAATCTCATGTCACGATCATCATGTGCACAAAAAACCTAAAGAGCCACCTTTAAAGCAGACCATTCATACCCCTTTCTCGTTGGTAAATTACACAGAGGCTATCCTGGTTTCATAAGAGCTGTAACAATGAATTGTTCACAGCTTTTCGAGACATAGAATGCAAAAGTTTGTATTCTTCATGCCAGTATAGGTAGGGTGTGGAATCGCACTAATGACTCATCGATTCATTCAGTCAATTTCTAATTTCTTACTAGTAGAAAGCAGCTGCTTCAGATCGAAAGAGTGCTCAATGACTACACAAATTCCCAATTAATAAGTCGCTTATCCATGTTTATGAGGCTTATCGCGAGTCTCATCCGAATGATGATATTAGGTGAGCCGTGGTCCTTAGCAGGATCGCCTTGTTTTGAGTTTGTGAAAGACAAGATGGTATTCGTCTTCCAGAATCGATGGGATTCACGCCTCCCGACTACGTGAAGTACATATTGGATGAGTACAACGCGAGCAAAACGTTGAGCCAAAATAGGGCAAGTAGTAACGTTTGGTTCCGTCAAATTCAATAGTGTTCTTGGTGGTATAGGAGTACACTTTGCAGGGCACGCGCATGGTTTCAACGAAGTGCGTGTGAACAACCACAGCTGCATGGTCGCTTGAAACGCACCAAGACTGTTAGCTCTTCGAAAGAATAGAACACCCGAAATTGAATTGCTCTAATTACTTTTCTAAGATTTATTTATGCTTTGTGGAAATAAATTGCTAAAATGATGACTGTTGAGTCTCGGACGATTCAAACTTATTCTTAGTTCATGTATGTAAAATACAACTTCAGCATCAATAACAAGTGATCAATAACTAACATACGACGAATTTTGGCGTGATATACGAGTTCGGAACTAATTCAAAAGACGTGCTCGTAAGTACGGTAGTGTTTTGCGTGAAGTATTCGTGAGCTGATTAACAGCAATTCCAGCATTGCGGTGGGGGAGCTAATTCGAGTGTAGAGAAAGAAGCCGAGAGTACTTTTATAAACCAAGAACAAAGAAGTGTTTGACTGTGTTTTGCCGTTGGCTCTCAGACACAAAGCGTGAGGCCAAGATTTTTTCAACAGTCAATTCGCTGCATAAGCTTTTTGTTTCGTGCGGTCCAAAGCACTCATATTCTAAATCTTCACGCCAAGAGGAGGGCCGACCACAAGCAGAAAGGCTACACCGGTCTCAGCCACGAAGTTGTCAGCCAAGAAGCGCACTCCTTTGTCGTCGGTTGAAATCTGTTCGAGTTACACGGACACCTTTGCGAAGGTCGAATAGGTTCCACAAAATTATGAATCAGTTTTGCCTTAATTTATGACAGTTGATCAGCGTGTATGAGTGTGTCTTGTTACACGCTATTCTTTCAACTTCGGTATATCACTCTAAAGTGTTACTTATCATTGACCTCATACTTGAATTATTTGGTTGTGTAATCTTTGCTGTACTTGTAACCTTGGCTATTCCTTATTTTCCCACACCCAGAATCTCATATTAATTTTTTTCAAACTCAAGATTTTTGCTTCGCGACTTTATAAAGAGTTTCTATTATTATGCTAAGAAGTTATCTTGAGTACTACTAACTTGTAAATAGTATAGTGCTAAGTAAAAATGTTACGAAATGTTGTGTGAAATCAGAATGATGCACCGGTTTCAATCTAAAGTATGATTCCTGACGAAAAATAGTGTGAAAAGCCGTATCCAGTCGCCCAAAGTTTTCAATAGGAAGCTTTGCGATAAAACTTCCGACTAGCATTTTTTCTAAAAATGATTGTCAGGCTAACTACATAACAATTTTTTCTGGTGGTAAGAGTGGAGAAGCGTCAGAGAGAAGAGCTGAGTGTGCTGATGTCAAGCCTTGCATTTGAGCTTTTGCCACATTTGCAGGAGCTGAACTGATCGTCGACGACGTCGACTCCTGAACTTGATGCAAAATCTCCTCAAATCGCAATCTGACATCGGTCAGTAAGTAAGACTGACATCAGAAACAGAGTGGCGAACGACCTAGATATAGACAGCGCGATCCTTGCACTGTGCTTGACAAACGCTAGGTAGAGAAGAAGACATTTCCTGCTCGTATAGTAGGCGGCTCCAACTGAGCTTAATGTGTTGTAGCTTTAGAGTAAATGATTACTATTGAAGCGAAACAAGGAAACGTGCACCGTAGATATCATTTCAATTCGAGACAATACAACGGTATCAAAACTATTTTTGTTTCTGATCACTATAGATGGAACCATAGAGTTTGACTTTAGCAGATATTCTGTGAAATTCTGATAGAACCTACTGATGGTTCATAAACAATTATCATCTTGCTTTTATCTGATCCCTAGGTAGATGAGTGAACCAGAAAACCAATCACAGGCGGTGTATCCCTCTGATGGAAGGAGGATGTCGCATTGAGATTTTTGGGATGCACGGTAATAGCTGGGATGGAGAGAAAGGACTTCACGGCGTTGAATCTAAAAACATCTTTGGGTAGTTTGGATGCAGGATGAGGTTATCATGAAATATTCCTGCTGAATTCGAGCTTAAAGGTTTCCCTAATTTTTGGGAGGCGACACTCTCCGCTCCTAAACGATTTCTTGTCTAACACAACCATTTTCAACAGGAATTTTCAAGGCCGTAACCAATTCGAACCCACGGGAGTGGGGATAGTAGATTTGAGGAAGATGGAGTGGTCGCATTTACGGTAAAGGGGGTCGTGTTCAGGGGCAAAGTGCTACCTGGCGAAACTTCATTGACACCTGGTCCCACCCTGGATTAATTTCATCAGAGACTCGTCGCTGAGCTCGGCGTTACAAGGCTTCTGTCAACCAGGGGGTGAGAGTGTAGAAGGAAAAGCAGACGTTCTTTGTGGTAGTGGGACTAAGCCTTTTAAGGAGGTAAAGAAAGCGGAGATTCTGTAATAGTGCGCTTGTGTGAGAGCTCCCAGACAGCACAACAAAGCTGAATTGCCTAGCCTCACGGTTGACAGATGTCGGAGACCCTGGGCTCGCCCGCAATAATGTAGTAGACATTTGCTCCGTTCCTTTTGCGCCTCTCTGCTCTGAAAAGTTCTATTGATTTCTGTTCATGCAATTCATTGTTAAGTATTAAGGATGAAAATAAATCATTCGTGTAACCAGTCGTTTTCGACGAAGCACACACCCTACTCCCTTTAAATATGAGTGACTTGAATGCGTCTGACTATGCAGCTGATTTCTGGGATACCTATGACAAGACAGTTTTTTACGCTTCCAGACAAAGTGTTACAATTCAAGCGACCCAGAGGATGAAAGTTATCATCGTCCTGGAAGTGCACGATCAGAATATCCGAAACACTAACTGTTCCATCCTGCGACAGAACGAGCAATTTTTCATAATTAAATATTCCCGCGCCATCTCTGCTCCCTCCTTTCAGGCACGATGCCTCGTTTTTCTGCCAGTTGGTGCGCGTTGCGGTTGCGTCGCGGCTTATTGAAGGCGTTCGCCCTTTGCAAGGCGTTCTGCCAAGGTTTTCTTTGCGATCGCTTTTAGTTTTTAGTGTGTTTGCGCTTTGCTCATTAAGTGCTAGAAGAATCGCTCTGCAGTTCTCTCATTCCGCAATCTGTAGTTACGATTTCGACATTCCTAGTTGTACTGATAGTCGATCTTATTGATTGTCTAAGGTGTGTTCTCTTATTGTTTGATTGGTATAGCTTTCTCTTTTTAATTTTACTTTTTGCTTCCTATGATCAGATTATATCCTAATGATTGAGAGATATGAGTATATGTTCTTGCGTTAATGGTCTTAACTTTCAGCCAGAACAGGATCATCTTAAACGACGACAAAAATGATAGGAAGGAGTATGTTTTTTTTCTAATAAATGGCAGGGTTTTTCTTTTCAAACACTCGCTTTTATCCACGCCTATTTCGCTTTGGAAGATTTCCGTTGTTTAAGTGGTACTAAACGAAAGCGCGATGACGACGATGGTGATGTTTCCATGCAAGGGTGATGATGACGATAGTAGAAGCGGAGTTGCCGTGAAGGTGGAGCCTCCAAAAGGTAAGTGTTTTTCTTTATTCTTGCGCAGTTTGTACCACGTCATTGTGGAAGGTAGAAGTATTCGTTTGATTTGACCCATTTTGTTATACTGGTAATTCACAGTACTCTGTACTTTGCTTACTAGGTCAAGATTCTAAAGGTTCGATGGTATTGGGGTGTAATAGAGGCGCTATTGTTGTTCTGAGTGCCTGAGTGATGATTCCTTACACGATGTTGGATGGGGTTTTGTGTAGGGATGCAGGTTTAGTGAATAATAATGGCAGTTTTTTAGGACGTGAGAAAGATCCTGAGTTTTCGGCACCGAAAGGACAGAAGCTCGTTGATCTCGACGATGAGTCTCATCACAGTGCCGGCAAGGTATGCTTTTTCATATGCGTTGCGCGTTATTTTTGCCTCAGGCCGCAATAGAAGTGAACAGTTTTTGGGTAATCATGTTTTTCTATTTGATTCCATCCTAACTTATTTGAAGGAGAGCGAAGGAAACGTCATTGAGCAGACACACTATATTGTCGTGCCTTCTTACGCAGCATGGTTTGATTACAATGCTGTTCATCAAATCGAGAAACGAGCTGTGCCTGAGTTCTTCAATGGTCGCAACAAAAGCAAAACACCTGAAGTGTACGTCGAAGCCGTAAAATCCAAGTTTTTTGCGATCTCATAGTTGCGCTTTTTAGGTATCTCTCATATCGCAACTTTATGGTCGATACTTATCGACTCAATCCTTTTGAATATCTGTCAGCTACGGCATGTCGAAGAAATCTTGCCGGTGACGTCTGTTCTATTGTTAGGTATGTGTGCTTACCTTAAAGAACCACTTTTTGTTTGATTTATGAGTGCAGAGCGTCCCCTCTCGAGCTCCCAAGGATTTTCGTCCTACATAGTTTTGTATTCGGCGTTTTAAAAAGTAAAATCATTGTGAAATGTTCTGGTAATTTATCCCATTACGTTCCAGAGTGCATTCGTTTTTGGAGCAGTGGGGCTTGATAAATTATCAAGTTGACTCTGATGCTCGTCCAGCTCCTATTGCTCCTCCAGCTACAAGCCATTTTATGGTATTGGCTGACACACCAACAGGCGTCCAACCGATTTGCCCTGTCGTCTCGAGTGTTGTGGTCAGTTGGTGCTTCATATTCCAAGTAATTTCGGTTTCTCTTTTGTTGATGCGTTGTAAATGAAATGTTTCAATTAGACGGAGAAGAAAGAAGCTGAAGATAGTGAGAAGACACCTGTCGAGAAACTATCCAATGTGGGCCTTAAGACGGATCAGTACCAGAAGCAGCTAGCAGCAATGAAGGTTACCTATTCTTTTTATACTGGATCTGGTTTTTGTTCGCTTCAAAGGAGCTTGGATTCTAATCTCTTCAATATTTTAGACGAAAGGGGCTGCACCTGGGCGTGACTGGACAGACCAGGAGACGCTTCTGCTGCTGGAAGGCTTAGAGATGTTCAAAGACGACTGGAATAAGGTAGTGTTCCTGTAGTGTTAGAATATCATACTGTCGGTTTGCGGTTCAAAGTCTGATAGCAGATTGGAATAGGATCTTTATCAGTACGTAAATTGCTATGAAAGGTATATTATTTTTCAGGTTTCTGATCATGTGGGTTCACGTACACAGGACGAATGTATTCTGCGATTCCTCCAACTTCCCATTCAAGATCCTTATTTGGGCTCTGACGACGCTCCTGGAAGTGGGGATTCTATTTTAGGTTGGTTTCAGTCAAGCCTTTTTCTGTTACCGTATAATTGTCATAAAATTACATTTCATACTTGGTATGATACGTATATGATCTTTTCCCTAATCATCTACTCGCCTTGTTGCATTGATCTTGATTTTTTCTGCGTTTTTAATTGGCTATTGTTAAGGACCGCTGGCCTACCAACCATTGCCATTCTCACAATCTGGAAACCCTGTGATGTCCACAGTCGCTTTCCTTCGCTTCTGTTGTTGACCCAAAAGTTGCGCAGGCGGCCACTAAGGCAGCTATAGAAGAGTTCGCAAAAATCAAGGATGAGGTTACTTATCGTCATCATTCGTTTCTTCCTCATCTTATGCCCAAAAACATGAAGTTCAGGTGCCTTCTCTGGTCCTGGAAGGCGACGCGGAAAAATGTCAGGCTCATGAGAAAAACTGGGGTTCAACGGATGAGAAATGTGTCCTGGCAAGTCTGGAATCGCCACGGATGAGAAAAAGGAAAAGGATGGCGATGAAAAAATGGAGACTGATGAAGCCAAGCAAGCTGATGAAGCAACCGCGGAGCGAAACGCCAAAGCTGCCGTGAGCGAAAGCGTTCAAGCTGCCGCCGGAGCAGCTCCTCGCTGCACAGCGTTAAAGAAAGTGTGCATATTTTAGTAATTTTGGGATTACTGTCGGAGTTTGCGGTTTCGTCTGTAGCAGATATTGGAAGTAGAGCGATCTTTATCAGTACGTTAAATTGCTATGAAACGGTATTATTTTTCAGGTTTCTGATCATGTGGGTTCACGTACACAGGACGAATGTATTCTGCGATTCCTCCAACTTCCCATTCAAGATCCTTATTTGGGCTCTGACGACGCTCCTGGAAGTGGGGATTCTATTTTAGGTTGGTTTCAGTCAAGCCTTTTTCTGTTACCGTATAATTTTATCATAAAATTCATTTCTTATTGGATAATGTAGTATATATCTTTGCACTAAATCCACCTATCGCCTTTGGTTGCTTGATTTTTTCTGCGTTTTTAATTGGCTATTGTTAAGGACCGCTGGCCTACCAACCATTGCCATTCTCACAATCTGGAAACCCTGTGATGTCCACAGTCGCTTTCCTCGCTTCTGTTGTTGACCCAAAAGTTGCGCAGGCGGCCACTAAGGCAGCTATAGAAGAGGTTTGCAAAAATCAAGGATGAGGTTACTTATCGTCATCATTCGTTTCTTCCTCACCTCTTATGCCCAAATTAAACATGAAGTTCAGGTGCCTTCTCTGGTCCTGGAAGCGCACGCGAAAAATGTCCAGGCTCATGAAGAAAAAACTGGGGTACTCGATGGAACTGTCGGTCTGGCCAAGTCTGGAATCGCCACGGATGAGAAGAAGGAGAAGGATGGCGATGAAAAAATGGAGACTGATGAACCAAGCAAGCTGATGAAGCAACCGCGGAGCGAAACGCCAAAGCTGCCGTGAGCGAAAGCGTTCAAGCTGCCGCCGGAGCAGCTCTCGCTGCAGCAGCCGTAAAAGCAAAGGTGTGCTATTTTTTCGTGCTTTTTAGTGAATAATTCTTACTGTGATGTTCTATTAAAATTATTGTGTTGGACTGCTGGAGCTCATTAGGATAATACAGGATTAACAAGGGGCAAAATTTTTTATTTTCAGCACCTTGCTACAATTGAGGAGAGGCGTATCAAATCGCTTGTTGCTCAGCTTGTGGAGACGCAAATGAAGAAATTGGAAATGAAACTACGTCACTTTGATGAGTTGGAGCAAATAATGGATAAAGAACGGGAAGGCTGTACGTTTTTATCTGTGCTACTCTAGCGCTTGAAATTCTATGGTAAAGTTCCTCAATTTTAGCTTGAGTACCAGAGACAACAGCTTATTCTCGAACGACAAGCTTTCCATATGGATCAATTGAGATATTTGGAACAGCGCGCCAAGCATGAGGCGCACAGCAAAATGGTTGCTGCCGGCCAGGTAAGAGCGTTGCACGGTGTGTGGAAAACCCTTGTGTTAAATGGTTACCCTTTGTAGTTACCTCCCTCGTTGCCACCTGGTTTCGAGGTTAGTGGACCACCACAACCTACCCCACAAGTGCAGGTTGCAATCCCACCGGCGCAGGAAGGTACGCTTTTCAATTTTTTTTGAACTTATTAAACTGTTATGGTTAATCATTAATAGCCATTAATTCAGTAGCAATCAAACTTAAAATTCATGCTCTTAGCATGCCGTTCTCCTCTGAATTTTGAATGCAGTTTCGGGTTTACATCTTTTTATTTTTATTAGAAAAAGAAACGGTTTTGGTTGAATTCCACATGGACTGTCCTTGAAAGCTTCAAAGAAGTCTATTGCTATCAAATGGTGAAGTTCTCATGATAAGATATAGAATTGCTTTCAGCCCCCGCCCCTGAGAAAACGGAGCCACCACCTGAAGCCACTGCAGCGGCAGCGGCAGCAGCTCGTACTCCAACGCCCGGTCAACCTCCAGTCGTTCATCAGCCACCGCCGCAGGCTCCGGCTCCTCCACCAGCACAGCCGCCACCCGCTCAGGCATATCCTTCTGCCCCTCCCGCAAGTCAGCAGCCTACGTACCCACCGCCGCAGGTATATCCTCCGCAGGGTTATCCTCAGCAACCTCAGGCACAAAGCGCCTATCAAGGATATCCTCCTCAGCAAGGTTGGTACTGTTTTACGAATGACCAACCGCGAGTTTACGCAGAGATGTGCTTCTAATTCCCTTTATGTTAGGTCATCCTGGATATCCACCTCAGCAAGGTGGTGCACCTGGTTATTATGGTCAACCGCGTCCTGGTGCATATCCTCCACAACCGCAACCGGGAGGATATCCAGCTCAACAACGTCCACCATATCAAGGACAACCACCTGCTGGTTATGCCGCTCAACCGCCACCACAACGTCCAGGTGGCTATCCTGGTTATCCTCCACAGGGTGAGTGTTAGAGCAGTCGCCATGTTCGACTGTCTTGTTAGAATAGTTCTTTTCTAGGAAATTAGCAAATTACATGGTGCGTCTAAATATTGTTCAGGACATCCTGGCTACCCTCCACAGCAGTACGCGCCGCCACCTGCTGGCTATCCACCACAAGCTGCTCAACCCCCACCGTTGGACATGACTGATGCTGCGACTCCACCTATGCATCAAGGTAAGCTTCTTAAAATTTCATCCTTTCCTCACGCTGGAGTTCGCATTATTCATTTATTTACCAGTCAATGAGCATATTTCACTCGTGGCTGTTCGAACGCCATGTGTATTTATACTTCTCAGACTTCAGTTGTCATTTTAGAGCTTCTAATTTCTCATGTTCCAGGTCAACCGGGTGAAGTTAAGCAGCCAGAGTGAGAAACACGAGTTGTTTGTATTTATACCGTCAAATCATCTTGTTAACCAAATGTATTAGTGATTCCCAATTTAATTTAGCGACTTTCTCATTCCTTAAGTCATTTTGATCAAGTTGTCTAACCTCTTGGTAATCATTAGTAATTGGATTTATCATTGGTGTAGACGTTGCTTGTAATTTATTTCTCATAACGACCGGTTCTCATGTCGGACTCTGAAGGTCTCTCATTTTCAGTGGTTTTCATCATTTCGCATATTCTGAGTAACTCATTTGGTTTCCTCTTGAATACATCAAAATTGTCTAGTTCCTCTTGTCCACTATTGAATTGTCCCTACTGTTGTTCTAGTAATAAACCTCATTTCCCTATTGTGTGCGTGACTATTACGATAATGTGAGCTACATTGAAAATATTCATCATCAGCAGCACTTCAAATGCTTCACCACTATATTTAGATTAGCTAGCGAATGTGTTCCTACAAATGCATATTGTCAAGCTCACTTCATTATGCTAATTTATCAAACATTCAAGTAATTGAAACACTATAACCTCGGGGAGGGGGAGGTGTCATTTACTTTTTACCTTGGAGCTCAGGCAACGTGACCAAGCATATACCAATTGACCTGTCTTAATGATGCCATCTTTCATTATTTCCGATTATACCTTTCTTAGGAAAGGCTCCCAGGTCGCCATGGCCATTCAAGAAGAGATGTACGCCGCTAGATGTGCCTTTGAACGCTGATCTCAAATCTACCTTCCAAATCTGCTAAACGATTCTCTGAACGGAGTTATGAAGCAAAATAGTGGTCGGGACTCACAGTCAAAACGTCGTAGGATCGGTCCCTTATCGTGTTTACTGTTTTCCATTCTTCAGGAATACAGCTAAACGGCTTTTAATAGCCTATTAGCTGAATTCCTGAAGAATGCAAAACAGTAATACGATAAGGGACCGATCCTACGACGTTTTGACTGTGAGTCCCGACCACTACCGTTGCGCTTGCTTCATAACTCCATTCAGAGAATCGTTTAGCAGATTTGGAAGGTAGATTTGAGATCAGCGTTCGAAGGCACATCTAGTGGTATACATCTCTTCTTGAATGGCCATGGCGACCTGGGAGCCTTTCCTTGATTTTAGGGATGCATCATTTACTCTTCCACACATAATGAAGTCATACAGATTATCTGTTTTTGTCGTTGTGGTTCGATCCCACAGAAAGTGTCCTTTTCCAGTATTTTTTCAAGTGCATAAATCTGCCCGAATTACTTCCAGGATATCTTCAATTATCTTTTGCAAAGGTCGAAGGTGCCATATTGTCACTTGTGGCTGCGTGGCTCCTTCATTATCGCAAAATTAAATTTTGGTCCATGCTCCCTCACAGCTGCCCAGCTGCTAACAGACTCATGCGGGGATGAAAAGATGGCACAGCTAGCTGCTCATGCCATTGTTTTGGCGAAATCGCATCCTAAAGCCTCTACGATTTGGATTGGGGTGGAGAGCGTGGCGCATCCAATGAAGAGACCACTCGGCTTTTAATCCTTCAACTTTTCCTAGAATGCAGATTGGAGGTCTACTGTATATTTGAAGTGTAAGCATCAAAATTACAGCTAGCGCTGTACGTTGTTACCACAGTAGACAGTAGAGTGTAATCGAAGGTTGGGTTGCATCACTCAGGCTCACAATTACTTGCTCTAGGTCAAAATGGCACTACCTGATTCGTTGACCTCAATCCATTCATCATCAGAAGGATTTGACACACAAAATATGGTTGAAGAGGAGGAAATCACTCCGGATGAGGTTAGTAGTGAGCTTTGGGGATATCAGACGTTTGGATGAACTTTTCTTTTAGTGTTCCATTTCTTGTATCTTCATGTTCGCATGTTTTATAGCGCAGATTTTGACAGGTTCTCAGACAAATGCGGCTTGCATGGCAGAATGAGATGGCAGCGCCTTGCCTCTTGCCGCATCGTTACGATATTGTTGAGTGTTTGGTTGATCAAATCGAGGGAATGGAAGAGAATTTAGCAGGAAGAGCAGACAAGGTAATGTTATGAAAACGTACGAAGTATATGAGAGAGAGGAATTGGCCCACCCTTGCTCATGTGGTTCGTTTTGTACCCTCGAAAGCTGAAATATTCTTACTGCCGATTTGGACCTCGATTGAAAGAAATGTGGGAATTTTGATCAGTCGTGATGTCTATTGAGTACTACTCTCTTGGTTTTTGTTTCATATAGATAATATAAATCAGGTCTTAAGAGTGTTTCTTGGATCCATAAGACCTTCAGCAGTAGTGGATGTTACAAGTTGGCCAAGAAAACTGCCTTTGCTCTAATCTTGAGGGTGGTTTACGCTCTTCATAGCGTCTCATCTCGCGAAAGCTGGAAGCCATGAAAGCACTACAAGTCCAGCTACTCATTTTCTGCTCTAGGGAATTGAACAATGATTTTTTACTCTGCTAGCATACGATGGAAAGCTTTCACGAGTTTGTCAATGCAACTTTTACAACCTCAGGCAAGGTCGCCTAATTTTTTTCACCGTGTGAGTGCCCTTGCATGACGGAGTCCATATTTTGTAAGTATGGAAGCAGGAAAAGTATTCCGAGACCTATAAAAAGCAGGCAATTGAAAAAGAGACATCAAAGTGACGATTCTTCTGAAAGTACTGAGAAGTATCTGATAACCAGTGAATTTCGCATATTTTCAACGTCAATACCTCAATCTCATGAGAGCCCATGTTATTCGTATCTTTTCCAGTCACTGAAGCTACACAAAATATCCGAAATTGGGAGAACAAAGCATTCTCGATTCATTTTCTAGAGTATAGAGATTGCATCTTTGCTATTCGAAATTGCTGGAAAGTTTCCATTATTCATTCCGAGAGTTTCAGGCTAGCATCCGAATCTCCGCTCATCGTTTGGAGTTGCACAGACTTACCTACATAACTAACGATTACATGAGGCGGCGTTTACAGAAAATAGAGAGCAATCCACGGCGAGTTCTACGAGAGAACATGGAAAGATTAACAGAAGGTACTCACAAGATCGGTTGAAAAACCCGAGAATTGTTTCACTGGTCTTTGCAATTCATTATTACGAACCGTGTGTTGTGCATCATTGTTTTCTCTAGTTTAACTTCTTACGATTCTTTCGATTCGATCAAGCGTTTACTTTTTCGCTGTATTCTTGGTTTCAGGAAAGTCAGCTCTTTTGTCTGATCAGGAAAAGAAGTTTGCTGAGAGATACGCGAAGATTGAAGCTCAGCTTATGGGAAAAACATGCCTTAGTAAGGAACTCCGCCTCCTTTGTGAACCTGATTTAAGCTCTGATAGAAATTTGATTTTCAGGTCGCTTGCAGCCTTCTTTTCACAAAATTCCTGTTCCTGTCTCAGATCTCGAATGTGAGAGGGTTAGTTGTATTATCTTATCGAGGCTGCTTTTTCAACTTTTCTGGCATGTGATCAGGGACGGTACGGTGAGGATA